AAGATTGTTATAGCCCAAATTTGCCAAAGGGGTGTTTTTTAGATTGACATAATTTTTGCTAAAACCTGGTTTACAGCTTGATGTTAAAGCAGATGTTTAAACATGTTGTTCAGGTTCATTTGAAAACATATGTTCTAAAAAATGTTGCAACATCTGGTTCCTACATCAGTACAAGCTATTTATTCTTGACAAATCTTTAATTGATTATGTGAGATTTAAGTTGATTTTATTTCACTAATTTATCGCATGTCAAGAATTATAAATCTAGAACGAATAATTTATTTTTAGCTGTACACATGTTGCTATAATTGGTTGAGTGAGACAATTTAGAAAACTTGTGTTTGTTCCAAGATTCAAGGAGATTTTTCTACACAGATTGGTGCAGCCTTTGGATTGTGCAACAAGGAATATTTGCGCGCAGATGCAAAGCCCAGTGATCGCTGAAGAGTGTTTAAAGAAACTACTTAAACCTAAATTCATTAAGAACTTTTTAAAAATAAAGGGGAAGTAGAATTTTCTCAATTTTAGATTTTGAGGGTTCTTCAAGGGGTTTCTGTTTTCTTCTTTCTGTCATCATGTATCTTTTGATATATTTGAGTTGACTGATTGTTTCTTGACAGTTTTTATAGTTTTTGTTCTCACTCTAAAGGTTTTAAGCAAGAGTTTGAGTATTGTGATTTAAGTGTAAACTTCAGTTTGGTTTGGTTTCAAGTCACTGCGATTGTGACTTCATCATAGACTGTCACTGGGATTAGGGCGGGTCTTTTATCACTGCATTGGAAGTGAGATTGTGATTTCTATTATCTAGGGGGTGTCTAGGTAGAACTTGCACCAGGTAGTGATTAAGTGATAAGTCGTAAACTGGAATTGTTTATGCTTAGAATTAATACTACTAATAGTGGAGTTCCTTCCTAGCTTGGTAGCCCCCAGAGTAGATGAGTTGCACCGAACTGGATTAATAACTCTTTGAGTCTTTTATCTTGTGCACTTTATAATTCAGCATAGTTTTAATTTTGATAAAGGTTTTTATTCTGTCAGCAGATGCCGTAACATCTATCGTGACATTGTACTTGTGCGTTGAGACATCAGTTTTGATAAAAGAATTTGTAATTAAATATTCACTAAAACCACAATAAAGTTTTTCTTTAATGAAGCTTTCGTAGAGAAAGTAAAATGCGAAGAAAATTAAATTTGTCCTTAGATTACGAAGTTCAGAAAATTTGAGTGAGAGTTAAAGTGAATTTTATTGCATGGTTTTATAGCCTTTATGATATGAAATGCTTAATAATTTGCATTTAAACCTTGGCTTATCAATGTGTAACAGAAAGAAAGCAGAAAAGTCAAAATATGAAACAAAAAAAAAAGTGAAATTTCAATAGCCCCGGAGACTAAGGTTGTTTATAGTTTGGTTCACGGAGAAAACTAAAACAAATCAAATTGAATTATAGTAAAATTTCACTTAAACTAAATTATTTTTCAATTTTTTAAAATTTTCCTCGTAGTCCTCCTCCATTTCAGCCACCTAGCTTGAATCCAATTATTTACATCTCTTTCTATTTCTCCATCATTTTGTATTAAGGACTCAAGATATATACGCTCATCCTTTTGCTAAACTTACATTCCATATACTCAGTCTTACTTATACTTAGGAGAAATCCATGCATTTCTGAGTCTCGTTTCCAATCCTCTTACATCACATTTTAATCCTCCTTTGAGTCTCCAAGTAAGACTATATCATCTGTAAAAAGAATGTATCTCGATGCTAACTCTTGGATGTATTTTGTGAGTACATTCAAAACTAAAATAAAATTGTAGGTGCTTAGGGTTGAACATCGATAAAAACCTATTGTAATAGGGAAATTGCTCGTCTTTCTACCCTGTGTCCACACTCTAGTCGAAAACCCTTCACACATATCTTGGATAACTTAAATATATGCAGTTGTAACCCCTTTCTTCTTTTGGGATTTCCACAAAATATATCTACTCACTTTATCATATACTTTCTCTAAGTCAATAAACATTGAGTGCAAGTCTTGTTGGTCCATCTGAGACTGCTCCATCACACCTCGTAGTAGATAGATTACTTCTATGGCCGACCTTCCAAGGATAAACCAAATTTATTCTCAATAAGTAGAGTATCTTTTCTTAGCCTTTGTTCAAAAAAGTTGCCCAAATAATAATCAAAAGGCAATAAGGAAGTATAAAAAACTCATGTAGAAAAACAACAAGGTCAATATGATTGTCTTCCACTTCCATTAAATCTCAAACGCTTATAACATACATCTACTTAAGAAGGTTGACCCCACCCCTCTCAAACACGCAAAGTCTTTCATAATCAGAGCCAATAATTAACATAGGGTTTTCCGTCAATTAAAGGGGAAACCTTTTACCTCCATTATTGTAAAAAATAGTATTGAGGCAGTTGTCACCACCACATATTTGTAAGAATATCCTCTTACACTTCTTATATTTTGAGCAATACAAATGGAGTATACCAATGTTCAAGAGGGTGCTTAATGAAATCTTGTTTCCATTATCAATCCTTTTGTTCCAAGGGAAAAAATATCCCATTGTAGGCGTGATCCCTAGATCCCTACATATTGGAATGAAGTTGGGAGGAATATCATTTTAATCATTCTCAGAATCTCAGACTCGAAGAAGGAGAATGGAATCTTCATCCCAAGGTCCCATAAAGACACGTGCATGCATCGATACATATTCACCTACTACTTCATAAGGCCGTATTACACATTCCTTTTCACCCTCCACACATGGTTCTAAAATAATGTCTTCCTCATTTCCAATAGACGAGTTGTTAGTTCTTTTTGAAAGGCATTAACTCTCACTTCACTGATGAACAAGGAGCCAACATTCACTACCTTGTCACATAAATGATCCAATTTTATGTAGGTATAGTCCATCACCGATCTCGCTAACCTTGTCGCAAGTCCAAGGAAAGAGGATAGAAAAATGACATCATAGTCTATAGATGAGTCATTGTCTGAGCTCTCACTAACTCTACTAAAGTTGTCACTCTGAAGAATTTCTCTCTCAATTAATTTGCATTTGACATATCATTTTCCCGCCTCGAGCCTTCAATACACCGAGACCGTAATTCATATCTCTTTATGGTTTTTTAGTTCAAACACATTTTCGTTCTCGTCCTAATTTCTACAAAAACCTTGTTTTCAGAATGGGGAATAAGAATGAGGAAAAGGAAAAAGGAGTAATACCTACATAGAGGAGTTGTAGGAAGCTTGCAATGAAGTTGAGACGAAAGAGTATTGTCAAGTGAAATGTGTATAGACAAGAATCGATGAAGATGTTAGAAATTTTTATTTGAGATTTATAGAAAATGAAATAAAGGTGATGGATTTTGAGCTCGACAATCATCATGGTTTAGTCAAAAGATCAAAGGATCTGCCTACAAACATGCCCTAGATCAAGGGCTTAAATCAAATAGCCTTTTTTGAGGAATTTCTGAGGATTTATAGTATAAATTATCTTTAAGATCAAACAATTGTGACTAACCTAGCCCCAAACATGCATAAGTGGATGGATATTCTGAATGACACCACTTAATTAACCAATTCTCCTTTACATGTCTCGTTCTTAGGAGTCATAGACCATCATATTTCTCCTTAATCACGTCACCCTTAAAAATATCATGCTTGAAGATTGTGGACCATTATGTTTTTCCTTAATCATTTTACCCTTATATGCATCATGCTTGATGGATATGAACTATCATATTTCTCCTTAATCACTTTTTTCTTACAGACCTTGTATCTAAGGGTTGTCGAGCATTATAAATATTATAACCTAGAATCATAAAATATCTCATAATTCGATCAAATCACTTACAACCATGTAAGGAGCACGAGAGACAACAACTAAGGTTAAGCAATCTAGAACACGAGTTTGTCATGTAGAAAATATTGTCAAATTCTAAAATAATCCTAAATGTGAGTTATCTACTACACTATCAAATGAAACAAAGTCATTCTTGTTATGACATAAGAAAATATCCTCAAAAGTCTACATGTATCTCTCGATCACAAAGAACTATATTATCTCTCCTTCAAGGACTAAGTTAAAGAATTATATTATTTACGAAACACATGCATATATATATATATATATATATATATATATATATATATATATATATATATATATATATATATTCTTGATAACTATAGAAAAATAGCTGGCAATGGGGTAGTATCGAATAAAGTAATTCATTTCTGTTAAATATACAAAGACAAAATCATAAAGTAACCTGCATTATGAATTGTGTAGATGATATTCAAAGGGTCACTTTAAGCTTCATATGGAAATTGCGACCTTTATAAATTTTAATGGCCTATTTTTAATGCCTTTTCCTCTCAGATTATGATTTTTATGGTCCCCTAGCCCAAGTTATATTACTACTTTTGTACTCCAACAAAGCATAAGAAACAATATATCTCTTAAAAGATATTCATTTATATAATACTTAAATAGATGGATACATATCATTAAACACATAACATAAATTTTTTACACAATATCTAAATAAAGAATAAAATTGTAGCAACCTTTTTTCTAAAAATAATTCAACTATCTAGTACCTACCTAAAACTATATATATATATATATATATATATATATATATATATATATATATATATATATATATATATATATATATATATATATATATATATATATATATATATATATATATATATATATATATATAAATTAATGACAATGAACTATAATAATTCTCAACCCAAACAAACAAAAATAAACATCAATTCCTTCACCAACCACCAATATTTCCTAGTATTTTTAATGGTTATAATGGGAATCACACATTTTATATTGATCACATATATAAAAATATATATGCACTTTTTTTTTCTCAAATGGGAGAGGAACCTCCATAACTAAGAAGAGTCCAATATTTTTTTTCTAACTCTAAAAACATTTGCATGATATCATTTTCACATCACTCATGCAAGTGGCTTGGCCTTAAGAGCTTTCCAGCTATGTTCAATATCTTCAGCAATCCTCTTTGCATCGATGGATGAACCAAGTAAGCCACGTTTGGTGAAACCAACAGCATATAATCCTTTTTCACCTTTCCATCCATTTGGGAATGGTTTCCTTGGTAAACCATCTTTCTCACTAAACATGTCACTTCCCTAATCACAATATATTTCAAACCCCATCAATATATTAACAAAATTCATAAATATTTAAACTTCGTTTCAACTTGGAAAACAATTAATATTAAAGGCTAAACGTTATAAAAATTATTATTAATATCTATGAATGTAAAAATTCGCAAAAAAATAAATATAATTGAACGGAGCAAACATATTAAAAGATATGAACTTAAATTTTAATCCGTCCCATGAAAAAATACATGCAAGACATAAATACTCGACGGTTCCATTTTACCACCTCTATTCTCGCTTGCATGCACATCACTATTGAAATTGGTGCGAAATTCGAAATAACTGTTAAGGGAAGCACCTTTAACCAAGAGGGTACATTGCTTTTGTAACCAGTAGCTAGAACGATTGCATCAATGTTCTCTACTTTTCCATCAACAAATTCCACTGCATTATGTGCTAGTCGTTTAACTCCCTTGCAAACCTATATATATATTAAATAAATTATAAAAATGTGAAATTGATTATAAATAATTTTAAATATTACAAAGGAAATGTTACCTGAATTTTGCCAGTTTTGATTTGAGCTACTGTCCCAACATCTAAAACTGGTGTTTTCCCATACAAATTCTTAAGCTCTAAAGGACCAATTTTTGGTCTTTGAATTCCATATTGAGATGTGTCACCAAGTATAAGATGTGACATTATAAGTAAAAATTGATCCACAAAATGTACTGAGAACCATTTAAGCAACCACATAGATAAACCAAATGTTGATTTTCCAAATATTTGTTGTGGCAAGATATGTACCTGCAAAAATCAAAAGAAAAAAAAATTCAATTAAATAAAAAAGTGCTTTAAGAACCTTTTTAGGAAATTGTAGTAACTAGATTAATTATAATTATATTTTTCATTCTCTTAGTTATGACTGACAGAATGGTTTTTTGCAGAGAAAATATTTTGTTTTCAAACCTTAAGTTCATATGAATTGTATTATTCTATGGTTTTTAGATGCTGACATTTTTTTGCGCATGCAAACAGATTCCAATGAAAGTGAGAGAACAAAAAATGGCACAAACTCACTTGGGACTCTTTTTCTTCTTTAATCTAACCTTCTCCAATTTGCACTTTTGTCAAAAAAAAAAAAAAAATAGATTTTATATACTCCTTAATTTAAAATAAAAAAAAGGAAAAAAATAATAAAAATGTATCTAGTCTAAATTAATTTAACACTTCTTTTAAAAATTTATGTAAAATGTAAAGGATCATTTAAGAAAACAAGGAAAAAAAATAAGAAATCTTATTGATGGAAGTTATATTAATGATTATTTTTATAATCCATTTTAAAAGAATATTTTTAAATTACAATATTAAATCATCTATTTACTACTGAACTAAATCCTCAAACTATATACAAGTAATTATTTTTAAATTAAATAAATTTAGAAGAATTAATACTAACTAGTACCTCAAATATGCTAGTGATCATTTTTTAAGTAGTTTAGTTTTCAAGAATCAATATTCTTTTCGATCACTATTATATTATGAGTAAAAGTTAGTGAATAATCAATATATTTGTTTTATATATATACTAAATATGTTGATTATTTTATAAATTTTAAAAATGTTTTTTGTTTATATAAAATGATAAGATAAAATACTAAATACCAAATAAAAAATTTAATTAGTTATATATTTTTAAAATAACATAGTAATCAGCAAAGTGATTTAATAACTTAATATAATTATTTATATTAAATTTAAGAATTGAAACAACGAAAAAATGAAAAGAAAAATTTATTATTAGTAAAAGAAAAATTATTTATAAACTTTATATATTTTTTTCTAAATATTCGATTTTATTAATAATTTAAATATTGATTGAAGATATTTAGAGTGATGAAGGCGTTGAAAATAAAGTAAAAACTCACCGTATCTCTAACAACTAAGGAAGGATGAGCATTATGGTTGCAAAGATCTAAACACACCTCCATGCCTGAATTTCCACACCCCACCACCAAAACATTCTTCCCACAAAACATGCTACCACTTTTATACAAACTAGTATGCAAAATAGGTCCTTGAAATTGTTCCATTCCTTCAATTGAAGGCACAAATTCCTCAGCATTTTCACCACTAGCAACAATCAACCATTGACAAACATATTCAATAACAATACTCTTTTTCATAATAACTTCTTGAGTCTTCACTCTCCAAACTCCACAAACATGATCAAATTCAGCATTCACAACTTGTTTACCAAAAATAGGATTAATATCAAAGTGATTAGCATAAGCTTTTAAGTAAGATAAAAATTGTTGCTTTGTTGGATATGATGGTAACCCTTTTGGAAATGGCATGAGAGGTAATTGACAAAATTGTTTTGGAAGATGAAGCTTTAATCTATCATAGGTTTTGAGTTGCCACATTGAAGCTAAACAATTTGCTCTTTCAAGGATTAAGCTTGGAATTCCTTTTTGTTTAAGACATGCTGCTGCTGCTAATCCTGATGGACCAGCTCCAACTATAATTGGTCCTTGAACAAATATTGAAGTTGCCATTTTATCCTTCTTTTGATAATCATGGATCATTTTGCATTCTAGTTCTTTTAAGTACTCCATGAGCATGAATAGTAAAAATAAATAAAAATTTTTAAAGATGGAGTAAAGGGTAGGTAGAAATTTTTCAAAAATTTGAAACTTTTGGAGAATTATGTCAAAGTGATAACATGAAAAAACTATTTGAATTTAAAATTTGGAAAAATGAATGGAGATGATGAGATAATTAATGGTTTTTGGTGAAATTGGGCTATGCTCAATGAAAGAGGAATAGAGAAATGGGAGAGAAAGGGAGCTACAATACTTAAAGAGAGTGAGGAAAGTTGAAGAATAAAGATGTGTTATTCACAAGGGATTTGTACCAGGGTAGTGGCTTTTATATATAGAGAGATTCTATAAAGTGAGAAAGGACCAACTTTATATGAGAAGTAAATTGTCTTAATCAAATATGTTAAGTGTTTTTTTTAATGGTGCTATTAATATTATTCTTTATATATATATATATATATATATATATATATATATATATATATATATATATATATATATATATATATATATATATATATATATATATATATATATATATATATATATATATATATATATATATATATATATATATATATATATATATATATATATATATATATATATATATATATATATATATATATATATATATATATATATATATATATAGTAACAAAGAAAATTACTTTGGAGTGTTGATGGATTGGATTATTGGTTTTGGAGAGAAAATATCATTCAATGCAACTCCTAGGTCGATTTGATTTTAATTTTTTTTTTAATTTGATCTATTTTTTATATGGATTGGTTTTTCAATTTTAATTATTGTGTTTTGTAGTTTATTTTATATTATATTTGAGGAAAATATATTTTTTTATGACAAAATTTTCACCAAAATAAAGTTAGATACTATTTGTTATTTTATTTTGTTCTTTAGTTTTCACAATCAATTTTACAAAACTTTTCTAAAAACAATAAAAAATAAAAATATTTTATAATTTAATTTTTAAAACAATTTTAGAGATGAAACTGGGAAAAATTGTTTGATAGATTATTTTGTGAAAATAATTTTTAGAAAATTAAAAAATAAAATCTTATTTTATGTTAATTTCTTATTTTATATCTTTTATTTTAATTTAAAATATTTATAGTGTAATATTTATGATATTAATTCTAAATACATAATTTATGATATATTTTATAAAATAATTTTATTATTTTTTTAATCAATTATATTTATATATGCAAATATGTATTCCTAATTGAAAAAATGGGTTGGTGATTTTAGTGTGGCGCATTATTCATCTTCTTCATCATGGACGCACACATTTGCAATCTGCTTTTCCTTAAAACCCAGTCTCATGCTTCTCCTAAAGCTTTCATTGACAAAATTGAATATTATGTTAATCCATCATTTCTCACAATAGTTTCTGGTTTTTAAGATATGAGATTTCAATAAACTCTATTAATTCTTTCACTTCAGAGTTTAACGACAATCATTATTATTCAAATAGATGTCACTTGTCCACTATCGACGACCTTAAAGAGCCTATAAATATTCCTTTACGCCTGTTGTTTCAACCTTCTCCTCAACAAATGAAAACCCTAGCCATTCCTTCATTCTAGGTATGACGTTTTTGTAATTTTTTACGGTTTGTACGGCGTGAAAGTCGAAAAACAGGGTGGCGTTGCTTAACTTATTTTCGAGGTATCTATGTTTTCTTTACATATTTTCCATTCCTCGAGTTTGTGCTGACCCTAAGGCATTTTCTAGGGACATCCTCACGGGGACACTGTCGAATCAAGTTATTCTTCCCTGACAAATCCTACTAACAACACCATTGAGCTTGTGAATTATGCAAAAGATTCGATCAGGCCTACCCTTGAGCGAAACCTTCGCCACCACGCCAATTACAATGCTAATAAATGTTCTCGACCTACCATTTCTGGTGAAACTCCCTTTTAGGAAATTTCTACACAGCTTGTCATGGTAAATGCAAGATCGAGACATCAAGATTTTTCCAGCGCTAAACTTTATATCCGTCAAGATACATTCTCCATCAATTCCTCGACCCTGAAGAGACAGAGTCCAGTGGAAGCCCTTAAGAAATTGGCTAGTTCCCAAACATTTGGCTCATAATCTCGACCTATCACCAAACTGAGCACTAAGGTAATGCTCAAGCTTTAACAACTCAAATCATATTTGTTTGAGGGTGAGTTCACGGCTTTCGTGGAGGAGGAAGATTTTATGGCAGCATAAATTTTCAAACTGCTCGTAGCAATTTCTCAACATCCCATTCCCGAGTCTCTGGCTCAATACTTGATTGATTTTGAGGCTTTCTTTAGCCAACTCGTCAAAGATCTTACATTCTGCAGGCACATTGATCTTCAACTCAAGACCAAAGCAAATAAGATGAGAGTCAAATGAGAGTTAAGTGAATTTTGTGAGAAGAGAGTGAACAAGTTTGAAGTTAAAAGACAAGAACGCCTCGACCAACACTCCTCTCTTGATCCATAAATTTTGACTATCGAGCCCAAATTGACAAACTCAACCAGAAGGTTGCTTAAATGGAACATCTAAAGGCCTTATTGGATTTGACTAGGGATCTCCCGACACAAGATGAAATCAAACGCAACACTCTCGACGAGATCGCTCATGGTGAAAAAGCCCTTAATCTTAAGGAGAGAATTAGTCAGTTGACATGCCCACAATATTTGGTCCAGAGTTTTATGCCAATTTTTTGGCTTCTTAGAAACGTGCTTTTTGATCAAACCAATTATCACTTTATTCGGCGCTTCAACCTGACCGTTGGCTTTAGCATAATAAGGTGTTGAGGTCATTAATTTGAATCATGTTTCAGACACAAATACTTGCATCTTTTGATCGATAAACACTGACCCTTGGTCTATAGTTATAGTGTCGGGAATCCCAAACTTATAGATTATGTGTTTTTGAATGAATTCAATCACCGTATCTTGATCCACACTCACTAAAGGTATGACTTCTATCCATTTGGTAAAATAATCTATTCCCACAAGGATAAACCTCTGTTGTTTCGACGATGCAGGTCAAATTTCTTCTATAATGTCCAAAGCCCGTCCTAGAAAGGGCCATGGTTTAAAAATTACATGCAATTCGCTTGTTGGAACATGTTGAATACCTGCATGCTTTTGGAACTCTTGACAGCCTTTGGCAAAATCAATGCATTCATTTAACATGCTTGGCCAATATACACCTTGTTGAAATAACAACCAGTTCAATTTAATGCCGACTTGGTGAGCACCACAAGCTCCGCTGTGAACTTCAGACATTGCCACATATGCTTCAGTTTCTCCTAGGAATTTATGAAACACACCCTCAAGAGTTTTCTTGAACAATTCATTACCCATTCAAACATAGCTTAATTCCCTGTATTTTATGTTCCTATCAATATTTATGACTGGATTCTCTAGATACCCTATAATTGGCTTTCGCCATTCTATATCTAGAAAATTGTCAATGATAAAAATTTAAAAAATTGCATCCATGCGTTGACAAATTTTTGGGCGATGTCGAAATAATATTCTCCCTTACTTCAACTAACTCACTCGGCTTGTCTGTCGAGACCTTATACCCAGATGAAATTCGGTCTAATTCATTAGCCTCTTGATTCCCTATCTTGAGCATGTGCGTAATTCTCACTACTTCAAAGTCTTCGAATAACCGATTCACAATTGCAAAGTATATCAATAGATGCTCATTGATACATTTATACTCTCTTGTGATTTATTTAATCACCAACTCCAAATCACCTTTTACTTCGAGTTTGGTTGCACCCAAATCCCGTAAGACTTTGAGTCTAGTAACTAAGGCTTCATATTTTGCCTCATTATTGGAACATTTGGCATCGACTTGACACTTGAATTTTGTTGGTGTTCCTTATGGAGAAATTATTAAAATTCTGACGCTGATTCCATTTTTATGGCTCGACCCATCAAAATATAATTTCCAAGGGTCAATGTCTACCATGTTTACATATAGCTCGACTATTGCATGATCTACAATAAATTCTGCCACAATTTGGCCTTTTATGGCTTTTAAATACTATGTAATACAGGCTTCGATAACATATGCTTAATAACATCAAAGTGAGACAAAACATAAACATCAATTGGCTTAATATATTGCTTTAGTTTCATACATGAGAAGAAAAAACACATGCACAATTTTTCAATTGAACTATACCTAGTTTCTGCATCTATTAAACCTCAACTAAGGTAATAAACGGGTCTTTCAACACCATTATCTTCCTCTTGAGCTGACATGCTTCATATCGTCAAGTCAAACCCGACTATATACAATCTCATGTTTTAGTTTCGACTAGGTGGCAGTAAAACCGGAGGCTTTATCCTATATTCTTTGATTGCATCGAAAGCCTCTTGCTACTCTTTTCCCCATAGGAATTCTCTTTCTTTTTGATCTTGAGTAGTGGCGAGAACACCTTTGTTTTTCCACTTAGATTTGATATGAAGCTCCTCAAAAAATTGATCTTCCCCAACAAAGATTGCAATTGTTTCTTCGTCAAATGAGGCTTGAGATCTAAAATTGATGTTGGTTTGTTTTGGTTGATCTCGATTCTTTTTTTTTTGTGTACTACGAAGCATAAGAAGTCTCCTGCATGTACACTGAAAGCACATTTTAGCGGATTCATTTTCAATCCATATTTTCTCGTCCTTTCGAATGATCGTCGAAGATGGTCTATATGACCATTCTCAGATGAAGATTTAATTACAATGTATTCAATATAAATTTGAATAAAATTCTCTATGAAATTATGGAATATGGAATTCATGGCCCGTTGATAGGATACTCCAAATTTTTTTTAACGAAATGGCATTACAACCCATTCATAAGTCTCTAAGGCCCCTGGACATTGAAACACCGTTTTAGGCACATCCTTATCTGCTATAAAAATTTGGTTATATCCAGAATAACCATCCAACATGCTCAAATATTCGAAGCCTGCAATTGAATGGACTAAAATTTCTGCCAAGGGCAT